TTCTCGCACCGAAAGTTTCAGTCGTCATCGCGCGAACCTCTTCTTCCGACCGAGTCATAATTAAAAATTGCTCTCCGTTGTTTTTTCCCGAGTTACACAAACCGTCCGTGAGACGCGAGACACAAAGGAGCATCCAAACGCGGACAAACTAACGCTTGTCAAGCATAAAGGGAATCCACGGCACGAAAGGAATAGAGCGCGTAATTACGCGAGCACTTGCACCAACTTTTCGAACTGCTACTTCATCCCTGACGACGCTTTAAAAGCTCGTTTTAATAAAGGCGAAAGAATGCTGCGAAATTAATGAAAACTACAGCGCGGGGCACTTAAAAACTGCGCGATATTAGCAACACCCTGGTTCAGGATTCAGACTTTGTGAACTCCTGAGCTACAGGTACTACGGTAAATAATAAATTTCAAAAAAGAAAGTTAATTAGAGAAAGAAGATTTTTGTTTCCTTTGTGCAAGAGAGCTTAACTATTTCCCATCCGTTCTGTGTATTAAAAATCTTAACATCCAGTAGCCCCTAAATCTATCCTAATTCTACTCCTAATCCAAAATCAGGATCATTACCAATGCTAATCCTGCAGCTGCATGAATGGCGTTACGGAAAAAGTCGTTGCACCGATGAAAGATGTACTCCCCATTAAGTAACCCCATAAAATCCTTTCACGTTCGTTTTACGAGCCAAGCGTTTCGCGAGAGGACAAGAGGGGTGCTCGTAAAAGAAGTCCAATTACTTCATCCCTAATCCGTGACGTTTAATAGGCAGACACAAGGCTCCTAGAGAATTTCGTAAACCATACTCTCAACCGTCAAACAAAGATCGCGTAATCATTTTGCGTGTGCTTGTGCAGTTACGCGACATTACGAGCCGCCCATCGATTATGTACTCTGCTGAGCACACTGAGAAGACGAGACAAGATGTAATTTTTTGTTACCGAAACTCCTTGCAAGTTCTAGAGAGAAAGAGAAATGGAAAAAAAAAACAAAATTTTTCCTCGCGTCGGTGCTCCATGGGGAGGTTCCGCTTCAGAGGAGTTGTAATTTCAGTGCTTCGGGTTTTATGGTATACAGGTTGGCCTACTTATTGTGGAGACTATAAGTGTTTCCTTGTACGAAACAACTGGCATTGTATGACTATTAACTTCTGCAGACTTAGATGCAAGTAGAAATATCGAGGAATGGTCAGACATTGCAGGTGTGCTCCAAGGATATTCAAAATTAATTTCCTCGAAAACGAAGCATCGTACCAAAACATTCTACCCGATATTTTTTATATATTTATTCACGTAGATTCATACAAACGTCCGTTTATTTGAAATAAAATCGTCAGAGCTAACCGATCCATTTCAAAATACCACAAAGCAAAGAATTTCTGCGCTCTACTTTAATAAGTTCAAAATTAAATTATTTTCATTCGTTTAAATCCTCTATATACAAAATATTATTTAAAGAACACTCGTGGCCGTATTAAATGCTTCCCAAACGGTATTTAACTCGACGTTAAAAGAGAAAATTTCCACGCATTCGCAACGCGCCGAAGAAATGCGTCAGGGCAAGTGTGTCGCGACAATATCAGCCCGCTTGTCAGACAAACGATGAAAACGCGCGATAATTCACCGCCGTGTCAGAGACATTCCCGTTGGCGAACGTTATCGGCGATCTCGCAGACGAAATCGTCGGCTGCAATTTGCACGGTCCGAGAGAGCTCGTCACCGCGAAGAACCAGACAACCGTGCTGTATACACGACAATTATCAAGAGAAAGGCGTGGCCAAGTGTTCACGGTTCATCGACTGACCTCCGACGCGTCGAGATCCACTCTTCTTCGAAGCATTTAATTAACCCTTCGCCACGCAATCTCGTGGAACGATTGCCATGACCGCCGAATTCTCTGACCTCGCCCCTCGCGCGATGACTGGTTTCACGATAAACACGAAGTGAACCGCTGTTCGCGCGATATCTTCAAATTACATGCAATGAAAGTTCGGTTATAGAGACAATCTGTTTGTAAACGAAGCTACTTTCCCCTATAGACGGTGTCTCCATGTTTGGCGTCGATACAGAGCGAGCATCCGAAGATTAAAAGTTTCGGTTGTTGTCTATGCTGTAGCTGATAGAAAGCATAGATTAAATAATAACCTCCCTCGTAAACAATGCTGCTGTTTTTCATTGGAAATTTTGTTTGTTGATACCCGAGGCAGAAGATAAATAGCACTTTGTATGCATTGTACGATAGTCAGGAAGGGTAGGTACCTCCGATTATTATCGATTCTGTCGAAAATTTGCATGCAAGAAGGGCTTGTAAATTTAATTTTCAGTAACTTTTGTTGTATACCGTTTGTTGAAAACGCGGAGGTAAACGAGATGTACATTGAAAGTTTCAGGATATAACGAAAACAAAGCACAACTCCGTCTGATGCTCTGCTTGCAAATTTAATTTCTGAACACGCGAAATAGACAAATTTCCATCCCGATTTACTTCGAAGTCCTGAAGTAATTAAACTTCAAATTTCCTACTACTAATTTCACGAAGAATCGCTATCGCGTCAACCATCTACGTGGAGAACTAACAAAAGGACTCGGTGATGTACGAGAGTCCTCTCATCAATTCCTATTACTGTCCTATTATTCGTAAATGCACGTCCTCGCGCTACGGTGAGTCGATGCATTTAAACCTCCGTTTTTGTCGCGATCCTGGTACAACACGAATTCATGCAGTACATGATTAATGATCTTTTTGTATCGCGGAGATATTGCCGGCAAAACCATTCGTGGTTATCTGACCACGAATGTCGCTATTATTGAACCTCGAATACATTACGCGAAAAGACGTCGTATAAATAAACGTGGACACAGAAATGGCGTAGCATTGATCAGTCAATGTCAAAAAATGTTTAGGAATATATTTCTTGTTGATAGTATAAATTTACTGTCATAATTGTGGATATCACCTTTGGACAAAAATTGCGATGCACAATACTATCTATCAGAAACTAATAACGCACTCAGTGGTTGGTATGACTGTAAACTAATTTAAAAAAATAATAATATAGGTAAAAATTAAGAGCCCACTAAGTACTAATAAGCCAACTTCTGACTTCCACGTTAGGCAACTTGCGAAATTTTAACGCGAACATCGCGCACAACAGGTATGGAGAGGCAAGTATTCACGAGTTTAATTAGCATTTACAGTATATGCAAACCACGCTATCATCCTGCTGAGAATGAGAATTCGCTGTACCGAAGTCTCCTACCTTGTCAACGTCTGATCCAACATACATGAGCGCGTTTACACGTACCAGTCGATCAGGAAGAAGAATTGTACCCGCAGCGCGAGACACACTTTCTCTCTGGCTTAAAAGGTTTCTAATCATCGGGCTTTACGGTCAATTTCCGATCGATCGAAGGATCATTTGCATTCACCTGAGCGTCCCGGAGCGCGACCAGTGCCCAGACCACCGGGAGCCAAGTTGCCGAGATTGGCGCGAGCATTTCCAAGATTTCTTCGCCGTTCCTAACGGCCACTTAACTCAGATTAGCCCCGCAGACTGGCAGAGGGGTTCGTTGATGATGGTAAAAAGCAGCAATAAGTCAGGACTCCCGTCTGTCAGTCTCTCATCCCCTTTCGCCTCCTACGCTGATAATCGCATTGCAGATGTCGAGATATCTCCGCTATTCGCGACAGAAATTCTCGCAGATTCTCCGCCCCTTCGCCACCGTGAATTTAAAAACGTGATTTCCCAGTGTCGACTAAAATATCGCGCTGTGCGACAGGGCAGCGACAGTCGCGGTACGATTTCAGAATTGGAAATTTGGGGGGAGGGCGATACGTCATGTATTACCTCGTGTCCTGTTCCGTCACGCGCGTTACAGGACGAATATTCTCTCCATATGTTGTAACGGGATCGGAGTGCAAGTGAAGCGTGCTCTTTTTTTCAACGTGAAAAATAATAAGAGTAAGACTAAACTTGTCGTGGATGCAGATTTCACAGAACTAGACAAACACTGCCAACTTCGAGAGCTTCTATTATTTAAACAATAATGTAATCGGACTAGTGATGACTCAAACCCCTTCCAATTTCTCCTAAACTACGATATACCGCAACGTCTTCAATGTTTCCCGCGAGAGAGAGATACAGAATCGATCGATTTGTCGTAAAACGAGCCATGAGAAATACGCGTTTCGCGACCACGTGGAGGGCAACAGCGTCCGAGGACCAAAACGGCGCATAAAGGCGGCGAGTAATACGATCCTGAGTTATTTCTCGTGTAAGACGGCTGCAATGTGTAGGTAGACACACGAAACGACAGGAGAAACAACGGGGCAACAGCAGGCGCGGGCATACAACGAGATTACTGTGGACTGTTTCGTTCCACGTCCATTATCCTTTGCAGTCTGGTCGTCCATTTTCTCGTAGATCCTCTGTTCGCGAAACAAACGCGAGGACTTTCATTTCGCACGTGAACTCGCGACACAACGAGGTGGCGCGAGCGTTCTGGGTTCTATTCCCAGTTAAAGAAACAAGGAAAATGAATTTTCAGAATCAACTCCTCGCACGAAAAGGAATTAAAGACTTTAGTCTAAACGTCGCCATTATATGCTATCATCTCAAACAGTTCCTTAATATGCAGTAATTTTATACCTAACGGCCCCACAATTTTCATTATCAACGCGTAACGTTCTTAATCTGCGGAGGCTCAAACGCGGCGCGACACCCATGATTTTTAAACGAGGATTAGCGGCTAATGGGAACGGCTCGTTTCAGAGCCATCTGCATAAAGTGAACATTGTATGCACGCATAAAATTTGTAAAAACTCGGCCCGCTAAGATAGTTCGATCGCGGGGCCAATGGGGCTCTTTGAAACTCAAGCCACCGTCGCTCGCGATGGGAGCAATAAAGCCTAAAGGAATGCGGCGGAAGGATCCGAAGACCACCTTGAAATATACATGCAACGTCGAGTTCGAAACACTGTAAAACGGTTGCAATACTCACGTGTTTTGCGAAGGCGTCGCGCACGCTCAGCCCAATAATAAATAGAAGAAGCACCGACGACCTGAAACAGAAACGAGTTTCTCCTTTGAATAACTGATACGGACGATAAAATTGTTATCGGGTACAAGCAACTGTGCTCGTGGGGTTTTGTCCTATCGTTTAATAGGATTCAGCTACCGTGTTTTAGTCGTTCTGGAGTATTTACTTATTTCTCACAAACTTTCTAGATTTCAGTTTAGCGGTTTTGTAGATAATAAACATCAGCTTTGGAGAAAAAGTAATTTGGTTATTTGACAGGTTAAAATATATTTTGGTTGCTTCGTGACAAGCATTTTATTATCTTTTGTGACTTCGTATTTAAGTATTGAAATATTGAGATATATAAATAACCAAATGCTTCGGTAATTAAATATTCTCAAATACGGTAAAGTATCATAAGGAACCTCGGCTCTAATCAGCACTCGTTCCAGTTTCGCGAGAGGAAAGCACGCGACGGAAGGAGACTCGCTTTCGTCAGGTGGAAACAACACGTTCCGTTCACGTAACGACACACGTAACGCGTAACTGTCTGCCCACGCTGACGCAACGAGTTGCGGAACAACTTTGCAGTGAAACTTGTCCCGCCGTAACGAGCCACATTGACGCAAGAATCAAAGTCTGGGTCAATGCTGCGACCAGTTCCACAGACAGAAGGAATACACGCAGACGCATAAGTGCAAGCGTGCGAGGGCTGATTTATCGCGTTGGCATCCGACGGTGATGCACTTCGCAATTAATCCTTCGACGCCCGAGGCGACGACGAATTCACCGTTCCGGAATCTTATCGTCGTTTCTTTTAACTCGGGACCACTTAAAAACATTTGTTCGTTCGACATCCAGGATTGAAATATTTTCAAAGTGTATGTATACGAGAAGGCTACCATTAAACGCTATATATATTGTCCTGCTGCAAGAAGATGGCCCTTGGCGACTGGCCATAAATTGTCACTCTAAAATTGCCGTTCAAAGAACTATTTTGTCTTATTGGATTGGTTTACATCATTAAATCGAAATTAGTGAGGTCCTCCTATATATAATTTTTAAAAAATAACTTTCTTGACCATGAGGCCATCTTCTTCCAGGAGAACGTTGGAGAAACTCTCCATTTTAATGAAGAATGTACTCTATATACTTGTAAATTTATGAATCTACCATTTTAAATACAGATTCATTTTATAATTCAGATTTTAAGTTTCCTCCAGCACGAAATAAAAAAATTGTTTAATTAAATTTCTCTTTAACGAATTTGTTCGAATAAGAATTTTGCTTACTGCTTTTAAGTGACAGTTTCTGTTTAGGGGAGGGACGTGGGACGACTGCCACCGGGTAATCGAGTCCTGTGCACGCCGATTTATGGAGACCTAGTGTGCGCACCTCACTCACGGTCGTTGTTCCCCGCTGTTGCAAGGGCGGCGATAAATTATTTCGCAGCCGCGGTTCGCCGAACGTTCCTCGCTATTTACATGCGAGCGCAGGCTCGATAAATCTCACCCGTGTTTCTGAAATTGTACGAATTAGCCGCGACGCCTGCTACTTTCGCGCCAGATTTATCGGAGAAAATTGTTGGAGAGAAATTTGACGCGTTCGTGTGCGTTGCGATATTCGAACTCGCGCAGATTTGTCGCTTCGAAGGTATTTATCTTTTAGGATCTTTTAGCCATTTTTTTCTTGTGTTTTCTGAACCTTAATTTCAAAAGAAGGCTGCATTTCACGTCTTCTTCAGCGCGATACCAAGCATTGTTCCGAACCAATAGCTGCGTCGTGCCATTTTTCATGAGAATACTATGTCCTGGAGCCGATAGCAGCCTGCACGGGCAGCGTTCCAAACCTCTCAATGACTCCCACTCGAGGAACGTACGCAACAACGCGCGCGCCGATGCAGCGGAAAAACACGTTCATTCAAGATTCAACGCGCAGCCATTGCACCGGCTGGCCACGAGACCACTAGCAAACCTTTTTGTTGTCGCTGTCGTACCGCACTGGGAATAATCGAATGCATGCACACACCGCTTTGGGCACTTTTGTGTTAGGTACACGGTGCTGATTTATGCAGGGGTCGTTTTAGTGAATATTATTCAGAGCTGAAATTTTTGCTGTTGTTACCAGCACTGGTTGTCATATACCTTGTCATATTCTAGTATGTCTTACTTCAAAGATATTTTATTAGAACTAATTCCAGCGATGCCCTAAGCAACCCGTCGACTAACTCCTCCAGCAGTTCCCCATTTCCCCCAGAATTTTGTAATTGTTTTCCCAGTTTTAGCGATTTCTGCGATTAAATATCGATTAATTGAAAAGTAAGCGCGAGGGATGGTCGCCGCGCGGTTACAATCGCGGTAATTGGTCGCAGGTGCGAAGACTCAAACGAGATAGCTGCATAAAACATGATAGCGAGCCACGGGGGCACACGGGGGCGTTAATTGGAACGCAGTTTTCAGAGGTCTAATTGCGTCCGCGGAATCCTCGCGGCGGTTACGCGCGCGCCAACCGGTTTCGCCGAAACACGGTTGGTTTATCGTCTTTCGCCCTTGACGACTGGATGCTTGGTAGGTGCGATAATTGGTCCACTGGCGAATAATTTTAATTGGGTGGCGAACGCGAAATTGATGTTAAGTAGAATTAAATGACTACACCGGGAGGAGGGAGGATGCGATTCCGCGACGTCTGATTGCGAAATGACAATGAGCTGCAACGCGGAGTGCACGCGTGTGACTCTAATTATACGGGGTTTATTGTTCGATTTCGTACCTTTGACGTCCTGATGGATTCTAAGAGGATTTTTCAAGTAGGTAATTAGCGAGATCGAGACGGTCTGAATGGTGCAAGTGCAGTCTGGCAATTAAGTCAGGTTTGAAGGAAATATATTATGGAAAAGATTGCGATTAGAAATTCAGTATTGAAAAAAGAGAATTTGAGTGAAACTTCATCCCTCAAAAATTGTCTTAACAATCACAAAATAAGGATTCTGTCGAATCCATTCCAAGTCCATGAACAGGTACAGTATTCTAGATAAAATTGAAAAACTAGTAGTTTCGAAGGAAAACCTCTAATCTACCTTTCGTGAGGATTCCTCGAAATAGCTAGGGTCGATAGTTTCCGAGTTCCCGTCATTAAGGGATCAGCGATCCAACTTTGGAATAGAGTCCTCCGATTATACTGTCGCAGCTCAAACTTCCAAGGGCGATGTTTACGCTTTGATAGCTATCGAGCCCCTATCCGGGTCATACGATACGCGGCATCTTTCATGATTTCGCTTGATGGCTGAGCTTATGAACGTCCAGCAGTTACCAAATGTGAAATTCACGATACATCGAACGGGGTCCTGGCCCCTCCCCATGAATATGTAAAGCATGGCGGTCCAGAACGATCCTGCATCGGGAATACTTCTAACGAGGATGTCCTACGGGCCAAGTTCGTTACAGACGACAAATTCTCGTGGACTGCGCTGGTCGACCCTCTGTTTGAGGTTGAAACAATTACAACAACCATCTGGACCATGGTCTCGACTCCGTTACCGAAGTTGGAATAATACGTAATACCCAATTCGACGCACCTGCGCGAGCAATGCCAATTTGGTTTGATAATAACGCAGAACGCTTAGAGGAAAATTTTAGTGTAAATTACAAAACTAACGGACTTGCACAAATTTTTAGAATAGAGAAAATTGTTGAGTGAAAATAACGAGAATCGTAACCGGTGCCGAAGGAGTGTAGTTTGTAAAAAGATAAGTCGAGTAAAGGCAAGAAGGAAAATTGAGGCGTTACAAACGACGTAATGAAGCGTGCCTGCTCTGCAATTTCTTGAATCGCTCTCGGGGAACGTGAAACCTGTCTTCGCGCGAAAACGAGACGCGCGTGCTGCAATCAGTGTAAAATAAACGACGCCTAATGAAATTTTGCGATTGCTATTAAACGTACTTTAGCTTTGGGTCGCAGATACATTATCAAGTAATCATGGAGTAAGTTTGTACATTGAAACTCGCTTTAAAAAAATGTCTTGTTCGAGAAAGAGGTATAACGGAATTTATATCGATTTTCTTCGCAAAAAGTAAAGGATCAAAAATACCACACATAAATAAGAATAAACAGTCACAGAAAACATCGATACAAGGAAGCTACTCCTAGCACGTGCTTCACCAAATCAAAATGGTCGCGCCAAAATCCCTCGAGAAAATGGCCTTCGACTTCGTCACGTATCCTAGCGCATCCCCAAACCAATGGCGAACTCTCCGTGGCCCACGTTCCCTCGACAAACCACAGGCTTGCTCGGCATTATTAATAACCGATAAACCAGTTAAAATGTTTATCAGGCAGGCGTTATCTACGAGGTAGACATGCACGAGGCCACGTGCAGGCTGCAATCAGATACGCGGCCACTTTCGCATGTGCATACCGTCGAGTTTTTGCAACTTTCGGTATTCTGCATATCGTCGGGCTACTAATGAGCCCCTTGTCCGCGCCGGGATGTGCCTTCGTTGAAGATCGCATCGCGGTGCAGCCTTTCGTTATCGAGATTCTATTCTATTCGGAGCGGTTTGCGGCTAGGAAGGCCTGGGGGGACCTTTCGTCGTGGGCGCGGAAACGTGGAAATCGAAATGTCGCTTGAGGTCGCTGCTTTAGAATCTCTCGAGCCTTGCTTGGATCAAGGATCGCTAACGAGTCCTGATGGGTGGGTTAGGGGCTCTTTAGGCTTGAATCGACGCGCATTTATTTCGGAATTAGTGAATTTCAATCAGATATCATAAAAATTATACGAATTGCAATAAAACATATCGAGAGACCACTCTACACAAAAAATGTATTTCATTTAAATACTCAGATTTGAAACTTTTCAGTAAAAAGATCGAGTGCTTAATCGATGTAACGAGATGCTGGATTAAGAAACCGAGAGTCGATTATAAAAGTGAAACTCCGTTCGAGCGACGCTGGAGGATCGGATTATGCGATCTGCAACGCTGCTAATTCGTTAATCATAAATATTCAAGAGTCAATTACCATCGGTGCGAAGGGTCGTGCACTATCC